CACTGTCCCCAGAGTCCCTCTCAGAGACTCTCTGAGAAAAGCTTTCCACACATACAGGCCCTCAGCTCCCCATCCATCAGCCTGGCCTGAGTACCCTGGTCCCCGAAAGAGCCAATAGCCATATCAGGCCTCACTAGCCACCTCAGAAGGTATAGGTCTGCCCTGGGTGCAGGGTGGCTTATTTCCTCCCTACAGACCTCAGAGCAGAGCCCCCTGGCCAGCTTGGTGTCTGATATTCTCATTCCATGCAGCTCTTGCACCTGGCTTGCTGGTGGAAATGGAGTCTGAACTCAGGTCTGGGGCTCAGCTCAAATCTGTGGCTGTCGGGCCTCAGTTGCTGTGCAAAGCCCAACAGGTCAAAACATGGACTTGGCCCCCAGTCTCACAGGGAGAAGGCCGGATGCTACAGGCTGGTGGAGGACCCAGGAACGCAGAGAAGCACTGTCTTTGCACACTGACATGTTCATGGTCATTAACACTCCCAAGTAGACCAAGATTCTCCAGCCGCAGTAGCCTGAGGTCAAGGTGGAGATTCCTGTTCTGCACAAGGTTAAGGAACAATTCCATTGCCAACCTGAGGTACCCAGCTGCCACAAAGCACATCTGCTTTTGTGTCATCCTGTGGCATGTCACCCTCCACTCTTACCCACCACTGAGCATAAAATGAGTGCATCTCCAAATTCAATGGTGCCGACAGGACAGAGTATCATTGGCTAGGGTGCCGATCCTGGGCCGGCTTGCCCCATCCCTGTCTCAGCTTGACTGTCATACAGAGTCCCTGTTCAAGGCTATGCTTCCCAGGCTCCTGCCAGTTGCTTCCAACTGTGTTTGTGGGCAACTGGGAGGAGGTTGGATAATGTGAGAGATAAGACAAGCCTTCTATCCTTTGGCCTTCATCTCAAGTGACACCTCCTAAGTGGCCAAGTCTCCCCTGTCACTCCAGCCAGTACTAGATGGGTCTACCCTGGTCCTGCTTTCAGCTGTCAGTCATCTCTGTACTCACCTCCCAGCTTCCTGTTTTCCTGGGCTGGACTCAAGGGGATGCTATGAGACCCCATGATCTGATTCCTAACATGAGTCTTTGATTTTAGGAAAACTAGGTTGAGTATTTCAGAAAGACTAGGTGAAGGCAAGCTTTTAAGAAAGAAATTGAATCTGAACCTGGTGGCACAGGCCTGTAATCCCAGCTACTCAGAAGACTGAGGTGGGAGGACTGCAAATTGGAGCCTGGTCTGAGCACAGAGCAAAACTTTGTTTCAAAAACAAAACAATACAATAGAAAATGAAACAAAAGATAGTAAATTTTAAAAAGAAGGAAAGTTAAAGAGGTTAAGATACTATTTTATGACTAGCTTTTATTTGTAGATACTGTTTTGTATGATTCTCTCCCTCATTTTTTATTAAACAGATCTTATGGGTTTTTTTGGGGGGAGGGTTGGTCTTTTTTTTTTTTTTTGAGACAGGGTCTTCCTGTAACCCCAGCTGTCCTGGAACTCACTATGTAGACCAGGCTGGCCTTGAACTCACAGAGATCCGCCTGCCTCTGCCTCCCAAGTGCTGGGACTACAGGTGTGCGCCACCACGCCCGGCTCGATCTATGTTTTTTAGCACGCTAAAAAGAAATCCAGGTGTGGTGGCAGAGGCCTTAATTCCAGCATTTGGGAGGCAGAGGCTAGCGGATCTCTGTGAGTTCAAGGCCAGCCTGGTCTACATAGCAAGTTCCAAGCCATCTGGAAGGGAGACCCTGTCCCAAAAATACCAAAATAAATAAAATTGGGGGGGCAGGGCTGTAGAGATGGCTCAGCAGTTAAGAGCACTGGCTGCTCTTGCAGAGGACCCCGGTTCGATTCCCAGCACCCACATGGCAGCTAACAACAGTCTGTAACTCCAGTTCCAGAGAAATCCAACACCCTCTTCTGACCTCTGTGGACATTGCACGACTCGGGTACACTTGCATATAAGTATGCAGTACACTCATACACATAAAATTAAAAATAAAAAAAATTTTAAAGAAAGAAAACCTGATGCTACATACCAGGAGAATGCCCATCAGAAGGTGAAGGAGGAGCTGGGGAGATGGCTCATTGCAGAAAGTGTTTGTCAGGAAAGCACGAAGACTTTAATTCGTCCCTAGCACCCACATTAAAAAAAAGCTTGGTGTGGTGGCACACATTTGTAATCCCACCACTATGGAGGTAGAGACAGGGGGCTCCCTGGGCTTGCTGGCCAGCCAGCCTAGCCTATTTGGTGAGCTCCAGGTCAGTGAAATCCTGCCTCAAAACCCAAAATGTGGGCCTGGAGAGATAGCTCAGTGGTTAAGAGGTCTAGCTGCTCTTGCAGAGGACCTAGGTTCAGTTTCCAGCACCCACATGGTGGCTATCAACTGTCTGAAACTCCAGGTCCAGGGGGATATGGCACTCTCTCTGACCTCTTCAGGCTCGAGCATTGCACAGCACAGGCACACTTACATACATGCAGACAATACACTCATATACATTAAAAAAAAAAAAAAAAAAAAAAAAAACCAAGATGACTGGTGTGGTGATGCATGCCTTTAATCCTACCACTTGGGAGGCAGAGGCGGGTAGATCACCGTGAGTTTGAGACCAGCCTAATCTACATATTGAGTTCTAGGCAGCCAGAGCTAATATTGAGCTCTAGGCCAGCCAGGGCTACACAGTGAGACCCTGTCTCAAAATAAAACAAAACAAGGTGGACAGCATGAAGAGAGAGGATCACGCCTGGCATTGAACAAGTAACTGCTCCGTTGCTATGGATTATCATGTCAGGACCTGAGGTTAGGATGTGCCCCTGGATCCATACATAAGCCTCTTGGGCTCCCTCCCATTCCTGGGCCTAGATTCAGTTTCCAGAGAGGGGGAGCCCCTCAGGATGAGCAAGTGATTGGGGGTTGGGGGGCACTCGTAGGTGTGGAAAAAACCAGCAAAGTGTGGGGCAAGTTGTCAGAAACTGGAGGGGGCGGTGTTGGCAGAATGGAAACAGCCTCCGGCTGGGAGCAGGGCACTGGGTCCCACTGACTCACTCGGGGTTCTTGGATAATAAGCCTCCACCTCCCTAGGGGGGCCTCAGTTCCATTTCTAGAAAAGGGAAGTCTTCCTACTGCGTCATCCTCTGCTCGTTTTCACATAACAGGCTCCAAAATGCTCCAAAGTTGCCCAGGTGGACTCTACCTCCTCTAGTGATCGCTGGTGACCCAGGCCAAGCCAGGCCAGCTGATGCACTCACAGCTGGTGGGAGTGTAGCGGTCGCCTCATTGCACAACTACGTTAGTTCCCTGCCTTGTTTACTCATAACAGAGCCCAGTTGCGTCATGGAGACTCTGCCAAGGAAACCAGTATACTGCATTCTCAACCAGTGCCATCCCTCCAACCAAGGTGTCATCCCCATTTTACAGGAATGAATTTTGAGGCCCAGGAAAGGAAAGTGGCCTGCCCCCATGATCTTGCAGTTCTCAGACTTAAAGCTGTTTCTAGGGCCCCTCAGCTGTCACCATTATGCCTGAACTCAAAGTCCCTCCGAGTCCAGCCCACAGGGGCACCAACTTGCACCTTCAGGGACTTGCTTATAAGAGGATCCAGTGTGGCTGAGAGGTAGAAAGTTCTAAGACTTTGAACAAGCCCTTCTTCCCTAAATGCTGTGTGAGATAAAGCTGGTGCTGGAGCCTGGCCCCAGCCTGGACTCTCAGGGTGAGGGTGGGTGTGCTATCCGGGTTGCAGAAGGTCTTTCTGAAATCTGGAGGCTCAGCTTAAAAGATAGTGAAGGGTGCTATGGTGTCATGGTGGAGGCCTAGGTAGGAGACTTGAAGGGGGAGATTCCCTTTCTGGAAGGCTGTAAGATCCTACACATGGCCCTGGGCATCAGTGATAAGGCCTGTGAAATGGGAGAGAGCTCTCCAGGCAAATAGGAAAAGCCACCTTCCACTGCCCCAAAGCTGACATACTTCTAGGAAGACAGAAGTATAGGTTGGGTTGTCTTCCAAGTCCTTCGAGTCCCTTTGAGCCTTGGTGCATGAACAGGTAAAAGGGGCCTGACAGAGGGGGAACAGACAAGCAAAGGCCCTGAGAAGGGAAGTTCAGACTCTCTGGCTGCAACAGAGAACTCCAAGGGCATGTGCAGGTGGGCAACCTGCACAAGGGGCCTGGAAAGGTTAGTTTGGCCTCAGGCCCCAGGCTCTGCAGGGGGCTTCCCAGTATGTCCACACCACAGCTTTCCCAAGGAAGGTCTTTCTTGGTGGGCAGACCATGGCAGCCGCCTCATATGTTTCCCATTTGTACATAATCCCAACTCCCATAAAACCCCCTGAAGTGCCACCCAGACACACATGTGAACGCCTCTGCCTGGCAGTGTGGTGACGGACATGGCAGGGTGTTAGCCACAGCCCAGGGCCATGATGGCCATGGTGAGGGGGCCCTCTGCTCTCTTGGGAGCCAAGCTCTGGCTCCTGGGAAAGGGCTAGCTAGGCCAACACAGCCCTTCATAAGAAAAGGGTCTCCAGGCCCCACTGCACACCACCACCCTATTCCTGCTCAATGGTTCCTAGCTCTGTGCTCCTGGGCAGCGTGCTGAGGCTGGCCTCACAAATAGAAACCTCTCTTTCTCTCTCTCTCCTCTCTATTTTTTATTCTTCTCCTCCCCCTCCAGAGAGAGAGAGAGAGAGAGAGAGAGAGAGAGAGAGAGAGAGAGAGAGAGAGAGAGAGACAGCCACAAGATCTTCTAAGAGGCTGTGACATCACAGCCCAGGTGACAGTGGCCCAGCCAATGGGCCAAGGCCGCGAGCTGGCTTCTTGCATCCTGTGATGTGAGGTTGGGTTGACACTGGGAAGGCCTGGTCCCTCAACCACAGAACCACAAGGCCAGGCCCTCACCGCCTCCAGAGCCCTGTGAGGAGCTGGTTGGCTCCTGGCGTCCCCACCCCCTGGCCGCCCTGGCCCCAGCCACAGCCTGGGCTCCGTGGAGGGTGAGCCTCGTTCATTCATTCATTCATTCGCACTGCTGCGTCTGGCCTTTCTGCTGCAGCCGTGGGCTCCTCCGCCCTGGCCGCCCAGAGCCCCCTTCTCACCATCTAATGATAATCTGCTGTTGAAAATTTGTGGCTAGACATTCCTGTGGGACCAGGAAGCCAAATTCTTGGGTACAAACAGAAACTTTCTTTCCTTGGGGATTTTCTTCTCTCGCTCACAGATACTCTCGCGTTCTTTCCTTTTTTTCTTTTCCTTTTTTTTTTCTTTTTTTTCTTTTTCGTAGCAGCAGGGGAAGAAAAAAGAGACCAAACAAACAAGGGGAAAAAAAAAAAAAACTAAAAAAAAAAAAGCCCAAAAGAAAAAGCAACACCTCCCCTCTTTTATTTTCAAAAGCAGCTAGAAAAAAATATATATAACAGCAGCCAACCAAGTGGGTCTGAAGGCAATCCCTGAAGGCCGGGTCCTCGCCTCCGCCAGCGCAGGGCATGGCTTCCAACAGCATCTTCGATTCCTTCCCCACCTACGCACCGACCTTCATACGTGGTGAGTACCATAGTCTGGCTCTGCTTGGCCTCGCGGGTGGGGAGCTGTGGCCAGGACCTTAGACCACGATCCTCCAACCCACCACTCTTGCCACCTCAGTCGCTGGCTTCCGAGACCCTGTGGGGGAAGAGGGGTTGGTGGCCTCTGTGGTCTCCTGGCTTGAGCATCTCTAGGGGACTTTAATCCTCGGCTGGTGAGGACATTATACAGCAGGGATGATGGCTACCTCAAGACCTCAAAGGCCAGACAACAGAGGGTCCAAGGATAGAAAGAGCAAGAGGAGAGTACCCATGATGCTCGGCTTCCTGCCTCTCGGGAAGGAAGGGCACTGGGGCCTGTGGTAGCTCAGATCTATCACCTGGGGGCCCAGGTGTACTGGGGTCCAAGAGTCTGACCCGGCCGTGGGAGGCAAGCAGGGCTTGAGCTGTGCCTGGACCCACAGAGCTCAGGGAGGACCAGTCCCTGTTCTTACAGGGATAGTGGGGACAGAGGGAGAAGAAGGGAGCCACAGGCTTCTGTGAGAATCTGCTCAGCACTGGCGCTTCCCCAAAGCTGAGTCCCCACGGGGTACCCTGTCCCTGGAAGGTTTGTGGACTTGGATGCAGAGAGAAGAAAGTGTTTGGGGGTAGATTTTGCCTCTATGTATGGCCCAGAGTTCTGGGGTATACCCCTCAGCAAGGATGGGAGGGAGTAGGGGTGTCCTACCGGAGCCTCTGATTTAGGCTGAACCCCAGGGAGACCTGCCCAGACTGTTTGGCCTTCATGGCCGAGGTACTCTGACCTCACACAGCCTTGCCACCTTCCTCCCCTCCCCTACAGGAACCCAGATAGGGCTGTGGCACTTGGAATCAAGAGTCTCAAATCCATGAGCTTTGGGCCCATGACTGTCTGCCTTACGAGTGACCTGAAACGGGTTACTTAATCTCTCTACTCCCAAGAGTCCTCTCCAGCTGAGGGGTCCTGCTTGTGCAGGCTGTGCTTGGGGGTATTAGCTCTGGGTTGTTCAAGGGGCCAACTTCTCTACAGAACTGGGGGGGCAGAATTTTCTAGAACTCTAGAGTTGGGAGACATGGCCTTTTCTGAATCCAGATGGCCAGATGAAACACAGAGGTCTGTCTGCCTCCGCCATCCCTAGTCATGATCACAGTCAGTGCTTGTGTTCTGGAGGGTCTGGGGCACAGTTAGGTCTGTGTATACAGGTTTGACAAAAACTTGTCCAGGAATAAGGCATACCTCTTTCCTGGTGACCTGGGGAGGCCAAGGCAGGCTATATGCTTTGGCGGGGACTGAACCAGGGGAGAAGAGGCACTCCCTCCAAACCTGGCTGTGGATAGTGATAAGTGACCCCAGGTCTTGTCCCCTCCAGTGGCTGTATTTATACGGTGTGCCCTTTGTAGTCTTCAGAGCTAATTAAAGGCAGTTATGTGGCAAGAAAATAAGAGTTTATAAAAAACATTTTCTGGGTCTTTGTAATCTGTGTTTCTTCCTCCCTGAGAAAGATGAAGTTGGGTTTAAAACAAAGGAACCTTGAAAGGCAGGACTGGAGCCTGGTCTCATGGTGTGGACCTCTAATGCAGAGCCCTGGAGGCAGCAGCTGGAGGCAGGAGGGCAGACAAAGGGGACATGGGAAGCTCTGGTTTAATATATGCCCCCAAGGAGGGCGGAGGGCACTGGACAAAGTGGCTGGTCCTTTGGTCAGCAGGGTGGAAGGTACTGCAGAGGCTGGAGTCGCTGGGCATCCTGGAGATTCCAAGAAGAAGCCCTGAGTTCCTCTCTCTCCTTCCAACCTGCCCGTTCTGAGTTAGCTCCCCAGTCCTGTCCCTCCAGAGCTCCAGTCTCTGAGTCCCCTTGTAAGACCAGCTCTGCTACCCACACAGGGTCCTTAACCCCTTTGGAGTCTGGAATCTGAGGAAACCTGTGGCTCCTTCTCAAATCACATTTTAAAATGCATAAAATAAAATCGAAAGGATTTTAGAGGACACCAAAGCTACGAAAACAGTTTCCAAACAAAAAAAGCCAACTTGTAGATAGTGATTTTGGGCCTCTTTAGGAACTACTGCATGACTGTGGCCCTCCTGGTGAATCCAGAAACCAGTGTAACTCAGGGGCAGTGAGTGCTAACCATAGATATTATGGGGTCCTCTGTCACAACCCTCCTGAGACTGAAAACTATCTGTAGTTTCCATTGGTGACACCATAATGGTGGAAAAAGATGCTAAATTTCAATTCGAGGTTGCTGATAAAAGGGAAAACGTCATTATTTCCAACCGGGTTTGTGAATTCTGTGCAGATCAAGAACCCCAGCACCACTGGGTTCTCACACTCCGGCTCCTGGGGATCTGTTGCCTGTGGGGTTTTCACAGAAGGGAAAGGACTCCTCCTTCGCTCTTCCACAGCTTCCTCTTCTTCTGTCCTGTCTCCTCCAAATGCCAACCTCCTCAACTCCCTCAGCAAGATGTGAGGAGCCAGCAGGCCCTCGACCCCACCCCTAGAGAGCTTGAAAATGCTGGGTTCCCCATTCCCACCTCAGACTGAGGAATCAGAGCATGTTCTTTTGAGTCTGAATTAACATAGTTTTGAAAATTCACCCAGACAGACTCAGGCAGTGTGGGCAGAGGGCCACAGATGGAAGAAAATGGTTTCAAGTTTGTTTTTAACCAGCAAAGGCAGGCATCCATGCCCCACCTCTCAGGCACCAGTGCTCAGCTGACATCCAGGGCCTCTGGAAACAGCAGAGGATAGCCTGAGTTTCCTGATAGTCAGGACTTAGGTGGAATCTTCCAGCTGCCCAGCCCACCCCTTACAGTTTCTCTCCTCCCTCCACTCTCGCCCCCCAACCAGATCGTTCCCAGAGCCCAGTATTCCTCTGGCTTCTTAGAGGAAGTGGGTTGGGGAAAGGGACTGAGGTGTGGACCCCATCCTGTAGCAGAGGCGAAGAAGGAGATGGAGGAGGTGATGCTTGATCAGATAACACTCAGAGGGTGCCATGGAAAGTGCTTGCAAGGTGTTAGAAAGCACGGGCAAGCATGGGGCCTCCCAGGCTGGGAAAGGGGTATTTACTCCTTCCGTAGTGGCCTTAAGGACCACGAGGGCATCTTAGGCTCCATTGGTGACTGGGTACTGTCGTCTTGAATCGACCTGAGGCCTTTCTCTGCACCCTCACTGTGGGTCCCCTCTACAGCACCCAACATTGCTCCCAAAGACATGATGGAGAAGGGGCATGGGTGGCCTTCATGGAAGAGCCCAGGAAGTGGGTTGCACGACTACATGCAGATGTAGGGGAGCTCTGGATAGGCAATGCTCTGCTTTGCTAATTCAATCACTCCACAAAAGCCTGCCCAGCTTGGGCCCTGGAGGTGAACTATCTGGTTCAAGATCAGACCCTGACTGTTCCTACCTAACCCAAGGAGGTCACTTCATTATCCTGTGCCTCGTTTTCCCCTTCTTCAAGAGGTGATGGCTGCACCAATCTCCTAGGGCTATGGAAAGGACCAAGTGAACAGTGGGTCCAGCTCAGAGCAGCTGCTTCATCCATGTTGTGACCTAGCCTGTGTCAGGAACTAGTTCAAGGGGGGCAGAATGAGGGTCTCCAGCCTGGGAATATACCCTGGTGGGGCAAGAGCTGGGCTGTGATGGGCGGCTAATGTGAGGGATGTGGGGAGTAGGGAGACACCATTTCCTTCAAGGAGCAACAGGCTAAAGGGTAAGGAGATAACAAAGAAAGGGAACGGTAACAAAGCGAGGTCCCAATGCAGGAAGATGGGTGGTCATGGGGAATGGATGAAGGACGTACACACCAGACCCCCTGCACAGGACAGGCCCTCAACTGCCTGGCCCTTCCCTTAGCAGAAGCTGGGGTTGGTGGGCAGCTCAGTCCTACCCTTAGACACCTGGGAAAAATGGACGCTGGACTCTCAGGCATGGGCCATGCCTATGTAGAGGCAGACAACATGGCCCTGGGCATGTCTAGCTTGGATAGCCTGACTGGGACATCGCTGGACAGGGAGGAAGCAGGAGACAAGGCCTACTTCTTTCCTAAGCTCTAGGCTCTGGCCATCAACAGGAGACTCACTGTGGCTTAACACCCAAAGTCTCAAAGCTCAGGAAACCCCTCAATCCCAGACACCCCAAGCATGTGCCCACATGGCTTCCTCCCCCACTGACTCTGGAAGGTGACAACTGACCACTAGTCTTTTCACACCCACCATGGCGCTGGCCTGGTGCTGCGTCTACCAGGCCTCTTTGATGGCGCCTCCTGAGGCCACCCTGCAAACACCCATCTCTTCAGACCACCTTGCCTGTCTAAAGTGCCCCCCCCAGGCTGGAAGGGCGTTCCTAGGAGCCCCTCACTACCCACAGCGTCTGAGTGGGTGTGTGCTAGTCCCACACAGTGGGGCTGTGTGTCCAGGCCTCGCCCGCGCCCACTATGGTCAACCAGTGGCCCCTGGCGGCCCCACTGGTCAGATAGTGGACCCATTGACGCCTGGGCCTTGAGGTAGCCACATCAAAGCTGAGGCTTGCTGAGGTACCTGAGGGGGAGAGGGCTGGGGGAGATGACGCCCCTGAGCAGCAGGGCCCTGAAAACATGACCTTCCAGAAGACTCTGTGAGGCAAAAAGAAACTAGTGCCAGGAAGGGGAGTCCAGCCTTTGAGCCGACCCCAGATCCTGAGAGGTTGGGGGACAGCCCTGGACTTGGGGTTCCTCAGGGCAGCCAGAGAACCAGCTCTTAATCCCATCTCCTGGGGTTGCCTCGTCTACAGGCCCCTCTTCTTTGTATGTGGAGCATCTCCCCCTCAGAGCCCCCTACCCTCGCTTTGTATGGCCCTCCCCGCCAGGTAGTCCCTTTTACCCTGAGGCAGTGTCACTTCCATGTCATATAGTCACTCATGATCTTAGGTGTGTACAAAAATCTAGAGACCACAAATGAGAGAAAATTTGTCTTTCTGAGGCTTACTTAATTTGCTTATTATGATTAGCTCCAGCTCATCCATTTCCCTGC